AACCCTTTTCACCTCGCCAAAAGGCATCTCCTAAAAAGGCAAAAAATGATATGACAGATGTAATTTGTGCGAAAATTCGTGGATTTGTGGACGACAAATGTTTGTTATGCGTTTTTTGCATCTTTGCAATGCAAAGCGCATATTTTCGAGGTGTTATCTGTGTATGTTTGTGTGTGTATCTGCCTGTCTGTCTGTTTTTCGTCTCTACCGACTTTTCATCTCGAGACCTACGAAAGCTACAAGACTGAAACTTTGGGAACTTAATCTGCATGCACGTACGGCTCCCATTTCCAAAATGGACGCTCTTGCCCACGCGGTTCCAACATACGGGTCCGTCAAAGTTTTTAACGGGTAAGCTGCTAACCGAAGAACCAGAAAAACTAAAAAGCTGAAATTTCAACGGCGTCTTCCCTGCACGTAAAACTTAATAAGTTCATATCCAGCCCCAAGTGTACGTGATTGACACGTACTGGCCCGTAAAAATTTTTTGTGGGTAAATTGCTAATTCGGGATCCTGAAAAGCTAGAAAGCTGGAATTATAAGGAGATGTTCCGCATCCAGGTATGACTTAATAAATCTAAACCCAGCCCTCAAGTGTGCATGATCCCCATGAACAGGCTCGTGAAAGGTTTTTGCGGGTAAATTGGCAACTCGGGATTTTAAGGGGGCGTTCCCTATCCATATACAATCTGCTGGCTTCAAATTCAGCCTCAGGTGTGCGTAGTTCTGCCCCTGAAAATTTTTTGTTATTTGCTAACTTGGAATCTGAAAGGCTAGGATGCAGGGATTTTAAGCGGGTGTCTCTTGTTCAAGTGCAACTTAGAAGTTTCAAATGCATTTCTTGGATTGCGTGGCTCGAGCGCATGAAATTTTTTTGCGGGTAGGTTGTTAACTAGGAACAAGAAAAGTCAGGCCTGAAAGCGGCTTCCACGTCTGGCTTAGACGTCTGCATCTAACCAGGTGTACGTGAAAGCGGCTTCACATTCCTTCCGTGTTTCACGCAACTCCGCAACTGATACAGCTGTAGCACTAAATGTTCTGGACCGAAGATGTCTAAGCAGTCGCGCGTAAAAAAATTTCAATTCTCCCCTCACCAGCACGTGAAGTTTGATCTAACCCTGCAACTAAAGTCACAAGAGCGTAGAGATTTCTTGAGCATTGTTGTGGCTGTTGGGCACAGCTCGCGCAACTTTTGTCGCGTTAACAACAAATTAGATAATTCAACAAAAAAAAAGCACAAGAAGAGGAGGTAATCAGGGTACAGCGCGATCCCAGAGCAGAATGGATGGCGGCGCTGCGCGTTCAGTGCTAGGGCCCAATCAGTGGAAAGCAGCGCACTTACTGTGCACCAGGGGAGATGCACTGTTGTCCCTTCAGGATACGACAATAACAGTGAGTAAATGTTTTTGATGAGTTGTTGCG